CCCCAAAACCCCAAAACCCCAAAACCCCAAAACCCCAAAACCCCAAAACCCCAACAGGCCTGAACGGGATTGGGCCCAGAATAATTTTTGATGGTTGGAGATATTTCCGTGTAACAATTTTTAACAAGGGATTAACCAGTCTTAAAAACATAGAAGAAGATTCTTCCTCCCTCTCTGCCAACAGTCTTCCAGTTTTCGTTTCTGAATGCCTGGTAGAGGCCAAGGGCCGAGGCTGAGATGGCTGGTCCATTTCTTGCAGCATTGATCACGATGTCAAGTGGAGAATTAAAAGTATTATACATGTTAGTTACAATTCTAATCACATCATTTGCTCCCTTGTAGCAGCCTTCATTGAGAGGCTTGAGTCTTTCAAAGACATCAGCAATTTCGAAGACTCCTTCTCTAAATCCAGCTTCAGTTCCTCTGGAAAACTCTTTGTTGGCATCTTCAACTGATTGGACTAAGAACTCAGTCTCTGAAACGCAACCTTTGATGTTTTCTGAATCGAATACAGTTGATCCCTCAATAAATCCGACGAGAAAATCTTCGAGTGGCTTAAGGCTTGGAAGGCTAACTATGGTCTTAACGATATCTTGAGCGGTGAATCTTGGGTTGAATTTGAAAAGAAGAGCCAAAGCTTTACCAGCTTGGAAAGCGACTTCCTTTGGTCTGTTTCCTTGGATCGAGGAGACAATGGCAGAAGAAATTGTGTACCATTCCCAGGCATTGGCAATTGCTCCATCCTTTACTTGAGTGGCAAAGTCGATGAATCCATCGAAGTTTCCGAAAAAGTCGGTGATTTGGTCTCTGGCTCCAACTGCAACATCAAAGCAGGTTCTGGTAATTGGAGTCATATTTCCGAAGGATCCGAGTAAATCAAGGTGATTTTCCCAAGTCCATCCTCTGTGAATGAGATGGTTTACAGCTTCAGAAATGTCTACATATCCTTTTTCGGTTTTATGGATACATTCAGTTGAGTTAGTGACAAATGAATTGACATCAAATCCTTCCAAGAATGAGTCAAAAAGTTCTTGAACGGTAGGCTGAGCCTTGAGATTCTTCTTTAATCCAGTTGCTCTAGCCTGTACGCTGACAACACTAGAAGTCAACATCATGACTGCCATTAAGGCGAAGATTGCGTTCTTCATATTCAATTAATTATAAATGGACGGGGTTTTGGGGTTTTGGGGTTTTGGGGTTTTGGGG